AGGAGTGTTCTCCTTTCTCCACATCTTCTCCAACATAAGCTGTCATCTGTATTTTTTATCTTAGCCATTCTGACAGGCGCTGTGGATATCGCTCTATATAAATAAAACACTGATGACCAGTGACCAGACAGGAAGTATAGGCGGGACAAAGAGAGAGGAGAATTGGGAAAACAGGAAGAAGCAGGGGAGACACGGGAGCCACCTCCAGGACAAGCAGCATGTAAAGACACCGGTAAACTACAAGCGATGTGGCAAGATATAGATTTATAGAAATGGGTTAATTTAAGATATAAGAACAGTTAGCAAGAAGCCTGCCATGGCCATACAGTTTATAAGTAATATAAGCATCTGAGTGATTATTTTATACGTGGATTGTGGGACTACGGGGTTTGGTGGAACCTGGAGAGAAGCCCTCCAGCAACTAATGGCACCAAACGGCTCAAGTTTCCACCTTAAACCTGAGAATATTTAATAACCAATTCTAAACAGAGCCAAACCAAAACCAGGTTCCTGCTTCATGTCTCATATGGGCAACTAGACACCGCAAAAGTCCGGTTTGAACACTGGCGGGTTCCGGGTGTGTACATTTGACTGGCAGTATGGCGGGAATGAGGCTTCTGCCAGCGGCACATTATGCTGTGTGGTAGATTTAGTCTTTACTAGTATTAAAAAAAAAAAAGAGGTTTCTGGGCTACATGTTGCTTTGATAAAAGCATAGACCCACTATTTCTGAGACTTGATGGCTCACAAAACTGGCGGAAAACATACCACAACCATGTTGGGAAGCTAAAAAGGGAGGAGCCAGCAGCCATAGCAATGTTTCAATCTGAGAATGCTACAGTTTAAAGCAATAGGCTCACAATAAGACTGATTCAGATAAAATAGTTTACAACGTGTGTAAAATATACATAGGCTTGAAAGAGACAAAAAAAAAGATAAATTAATATAAGAAAGCCATGTAAAAATGAATATTACACAGAGAATCTGGATTGTGTTGTCTTTGGGATTTTTAACTACAAAAAAACATTTGATCAAAAAAGATGATGAATTAAGCCAATATGTATATTTTAAAGGTACCTTGACTTCAAAATTTGCATGTAAGGATATGCTGCTTTGGAAAAGAGGTTCTGCTTTTGTTTCCACAGAAAGCCAGAGGCTATGGATTTGTTCCAGATTAAGATACATCAGGTTTCACCAGCCAAGACCCTCTGAAAGGTCTCCGATGACACCATGGCCCAGATAATCTAACATCCAGAGTGGTTTCAAGGCAACTGGCTCACACAATACAGCCTCACAGACTACCCCATAAGCCTAAAATCTTCTTTGCATCCTCATAAGATATAGCGCCCCCCTCCAGCAGGAAGTAGTAAGAGATGCTACACCCAAATTTCCAAATATACCAATCTGGCTTTAGAGGTGGAATTGGCTCACTCCCCCTCTAAACCCAGACATATTTAAAAAAATGGTTAAGAGATTCTTGTGTCCCAAATCAGAAGAGCCCTCTGGTGTGTGACAGAGAAAA